GCCCATGTGTCAGGGACGTAGAGGGGCGCTCTCATGAACCCCCTTATATAGAGAAAATCGCACCATCCCGTGGCGCCGCCCTTGCGAAATTAATTTTTTTTTTTACAGAACACTTGCCCAGAGTGTCCTTATCAACTCCACCAAAGTCTCATGGCTATTAGATGAACGGTATCAAACCAAAATCGACTTTTATTTTTATACACCGTACATATAGAAAAATCGCACCCTCCCGTGGCGCCGCCCTTGGGAAATTAAAAAAAATATTTTTTTACAGAATCCTTCCCTAGAGTGTTATAACGAACTCCCCAAAGTCTCATGGCTATCGAATGAACAGTGTCACACAAAAGTCGACTTTTTAATATACTGTACATAGAGAAAAATCGCACCCTCCCGTGGCGCCGCCCTTGCAAAATTAAAACTGATTTTTTTTTTTACAGAACCCTTCCTTGAATTGCTTTAATCGACTCCTTAAAGTTTGACGGCGATTGGATGAACAGTGTGAATCTGCAATCGACTCTTATTTTTTATATACCGTATATAGAGAAAAAACAAATCGCGCCCTGCCGGGGCGCCACCTCTGCGAATTTGATTTTTTTTTCCAGCAGAAACCTTCCCAGGAATATTCTTAACAACTTCCCAAAGTTCAACGGCGATGTGATAAGAGGTGTGGTAATGCATAAAAGACACACAGACACACAGACACACAGACACACATACATTGCTTTTTATATATATAGATCAGGGGTCTCCAAACTTTTCAGTCCGAGGGCCACATTAACTATCAAATTTCCGTTCGGGGGCCAGTTTCTTCCAGACATGTCTTTGATTTTTCTGGGCAAAGTTCCTCAGCTATCACCAACAAACGATTTTTACTTGGACAAAAAGATCGCCGCGGGCCGGATGAGAGGACTTCGTGGGCCGCATCCGGCCCGCGGGCCGTAGTTTGGAGACCCCTGAACTAGGGGATGGGCAAATAACTACTGAAGTCATTATGTACAACGTGAATCTCCATTTCAACAGCTCGATAACTTGGGAACGAAAATGGGAACTGTATGCCTATTTTCAGAACGAATCGTTCCATCATATATACACTTGTGATGTTATAATATACAGTAAGTGATTTGGATTGCAGTCAAAATGTTAAGTATTAATAAATTAAAATAGCTAAGCATTTAAGTTTTTTCCCTGCTGACGTGAGTGTGTGATCGCTCAAGATTGTGTATGCGTGTCCGTGTGTGCGTGAGAGTACCAGATCAGTTTATCTTAATCTAGCTTATTAAGAAAGCTATTACCCTTTTTTTAGCCTACCAAAGGTTGGCATGCGCTTTTTCCCAGCAACATGTATTTATTTAAAAAATGCTGTTATTGATTTAACCGTCTTGATTGTGTGAGTACGTAAAAAAAAGTAAAGTTCCCTTTCAAACCTGACGGTCTATAGGGCAAGTGAATTAGAGTTCACTTAATTCTGTGACCTCGGCATATGAAGAGATAGTGTGGTCAGCACTATGCCCAGCCGCCTTTACATTCCCTAACGTGAGTTAGGTACCCATCAGAGTTGGGTGGGCTCAGAGACGGTCTATTGACTTGAACCCGGATTTCAACTCGAGACTTAAGGGTTAGCAGTCCAGCTCTCTACAGCTTGACCACTCTGTCCATTTAGTTAACATTAAATTACATAAAAGCATGTTGTTAAGTACATTTCTTATATCAGCTACAGATGTGTTTAACAACTGTGATCATGTAGCATCACCAGAAGAACTGCAGATTACATGTATTGTCCAGAAAACGTTTTCTAAATTGCCCTGTGAATTTAACGTAACTTTAAACAACGTTAGTCAATGTTATTTATAATTACATAGTTAAACAATAATCCATTTTTTAAGAAACATTTATATAATAACCTCCAGATAGGCGTGTTGCATTCGAGGACTTCGATATATATATATATACACACACATATATATATATATATATATATATATATATATATATATATATATATATATATATATATATATATATATAGTTATGCCAAGACATACAAGATTTTCGAGATACAAGTAGTTTAAGCTGCGAGCAAAATTTTGAGATACGAGTCACCGGATCCCACGAGTTTTACAGTTCATGGCAAATAATACCCGAAATACATGGAACTCATCGTGCGTTGCTGCTATTTAACGAATTAGTCTAAGTCTAACTAGTTTCCACACAATTTAAATGTAAGGAAGGAAAGAGGCATTTTAATGGGTGATGTTTTAAACGGCCTTCGCATGTAAATAAGCAAAGCGTGCGTAAAATGCAGTAAAGAGTAAAGAGTGTCATGAAAATAAAGCAAAAGTAATAATAAATCATCAAGTTGAATTTGAAGTGCACTTATGTTCAATGAATTTCAATTAGGTTCCATAAAGTTTAAAGATAAATTGTAGCATTTATATTGTAACGAGTAAGATTGGAATTTATGTTGGACTAAGTATTAATACAGAACAAAACACAAGTAAATTATAATAAATAAAACACATTTAGAGTATGTTAAATTGAAATTAGATTATGTTACAGCTACTATAAATTTGCACGGGAGTTAGTTTAAGGGACAGTCCATTGTTAGTGTAGGTGCAGGTGAAGGTGTAAGTGTAAGTGTAAGTGTAGGTGTAGGTGTAGGTGTAGGTGTAGGTGTAGGTGTAGGTGTAGGTGTAGGTGTAGGTGTAGGTGTAGGTGTAGGTGTAGGTGTAGGTGTAGGTGTAAGTGTAGGTGTAGGTGTAGGTGTAGGTGTAGGTGTAGGTGTAGGTGTAGGTGTAGGTGCAGGTGTAGGTGTAGGTGTAGGTGTAGGTGTAGGTGTAGGTGTAGGTGTAGGTGTAGGTGTAGGTGTAGGTGTAGGTGTAGGTGTAGGTGTAGGTGTAGGTGTAGGTGTAGGTGTAGGTGTAGGTGTAGGTATAGGTGTAGGTGTAGGTGTAGGTGTAGGTGTAGGTGTAGGTGTAGGTGTAGGTGTAGGTGTAGGTGTAGGTGTAAGTGTAGGTGTAGGTGTAGGTGTAGGTGTAGGTGCAGGTGCAGGTGTAGGTGTAGGTGTAGGTGTAGGTGTAGGTGTAGGTGTAGGTGTAGGTGTAGGTGTAGGTGTAGGTGTAGGTGTAGGTGTAGGTGTAGTTGTAGTTGTAGGTGTAGGTGTAGGTGTAGGTGTAGGTGTAGGTGTAGGTGTGGGTGTAGGTGTAGGTGTAGGTGTAGGTGTAGGTGTAGGTGAACTTGAACTTGAACTTGAACTTGAACTTGAACTTGAACTTGAACTTGAACTTGAACTTGAACTTGAACTTGAACTTGAACTTGAACTTGAACTTGAACTTGAACTTGAACTTGAACTTGAACTTGAACTTGAACTTGAACTTGAACTTGAACTTGAACTTGAACTTGAAATTGGCCTGGAACTTGAACTTGAACTTGCAATTAAACTTGGAATTGAAATGGAACTTGACCTTGAACTTGACCTTAAACTTGAACCTAAACACATACCTGAAAAGGAAACTGAAACTGAACCTGAACCTGAAACCTAAACCCTAAACCTAAACCTAAACCTAAACCTAAACCTAAACCTAAACCTAAACCTAAACCTAAACCTAAACCTAAACCTAAACCTAAACCTAAACCTAAACCTAAACCTAAACCTAAACATAAACCTAAACCTAAACCTAAACCTAAACCTAAACCTAAACCTAAACCTAAACCTAAATCTAAACCTAAACCTAAACCTAAACCTAAACCTAAACCCAAACCTAAACCCAAACCCAAACCTAAACCTAAACCTAAACCTAAACTTAAACCTAAACCTAAACCTAAACCTAAACCTAAACCTAAACCTAAACCTAAACCTAAACCTAAACCTAAACCTAAACCTAAACCTAAACCTAAACCTAAACCTAAACCTAAACCTAAACCTAAACCTAAACATAAACATAAACATAAACATAAACATAAACATAAACATAAACATAAACATAAACATAAACATAAACATAAACATAAACATAAACATAAACATAAACATAAACATAAACATAAACATAAACATAAACATAAACATAAACATAAACATAAACATAAACATAAACATAAACATAAACATAAACATAAACATAAACATAAACATAAACATAAACATAAACATAAACATAAACATAAACATAAACATAAACATAAACATAAACATAAACATAAACATAAACATAAACATAAACATAAACATAAACATAAACATAAACATAAACATAAACATAAACATAAACATAAACATAAACATAAACATAAACATAAACATAAACATAAACATAAACATAAACATAAACATAAACATAAACATAAACATAAACATAAACATAAACATAAACATAAACATAAACATAAACATAAACATAAACATAAACATAAACATAAACATAAACATAAACATAAACATAAACATAAACATAAACATAAACATAAACATAAACATAAACATAAACATAAACATAAACATAAACATAAACATAAACATAAACATAAACATAAACATAAACATAAACATAAACATAAACATAAACATAAACATAAACATAAACATAAACATAAACATAAACATAAACATAAACATAAACATAAACATAAACATAAACATAAACATAAACCTAAACCTAAACCCAAACCCAAACCCAAACCTAAACCTAAACCTAAACCTAAACCTAAACCTAAACCTAAACCAAAAACCTAAACCTAAACCTGAACCTGAACCTGAACCTGAACCTGAACCTGAACCTGAACCTGAACCTGAACCTGAACCTGAACCTGAACCTGAACCTGAACCTGAACCTGAACCTGAACCTGAACCTGAACCTGAACCTGAACCTGAACCTGAACCTGAACCTGAACCTGAACCTGAACCTGAACCTGAACCTGAACCTGAACCTGAACCTCAACCTGAACCTGAACCTGAACCTGAACCTGAACCTAAATATGAACTTGAACTTGAACTTGAACATCAGGATGAACATAAAGATGAAGATGAGGATGAGGAGAAGGATGAGGACGAAGACGAAGACGAAGACGAAGACGAAGACGAAGACGAAGACGAAGACGAAGACGAAGACGAAGACGAAGACGAAGACGAAGACGAAGACGAAGACGAAGACGAAGACGAAGACGAAGACGAAGACGAAGACGAAGACGAAGACGAAGACGAAGGTGAAGGTGAAGGTGAAGGTGAAGGTGAAGGTAAAGGTGAAGGTGAAGGTGAAGGTGAAGGTGAAGGTGAGGTGAAGGTGAGTTGAAGGTGAGGTGATGGTGAGCTGAAGGTGAGGTGAGGTGAGGTGAGGTGAAGGTGAAGGTGAAGGTGAAGACGAAGACGAAGGTGAAGGTGAAGGTGAAGATGAATGCGAAGGTGATAGTGCAGGTGGAGGTGGAGGTGGAGTTGGAGGTGGTGGTGGAGCTGGAGGTGAAGGTGGAAGTGGAGATGGAGATTGAGATGGAGATGGATATGGATGTGAAGGTTGAGATGAAGATGAAGAGATAGATGAAGATGAAGATGAAGATGAAGATGAAGATGAAGATGAAGATGAAGATGAAGATGAAGATGAAGATGAAGATGAAGATGAAGATGAAGATGAAGATGAAGATGAAGATGAAGATGAAGATGAAGATGAAGATGAAGATGAAGATGAAGATGAAGATGAAGATGAAGATGAAGATGAAGATGAAGATGAAGATGAAGATGAAGATGAAGATGAAGATGAAGATGAAGATGAAGATGAAGATGAAGATGAAGATGAAGATGAAGATGAAGATGAAGATGAAGATGAAGATGAAGATGAAGATGAAGATGAAGATGAAGATGAAGATGAAGATGAAGATGAAGATGAAGATGAAGATGAAGATGAAGATGAAGATGAAGATGAAGATGAAGATGAAGATGAAGATGAAGATGAAGATGAAGATGAAGATGAAGATGAAGATGAAGATGAAGATGAAGATGAAGATGAAGATGAAGATGAAGATGAAGATGAAGATGAAGATGAAGATGAAGATGAAGATGAAGATGAAGATGAAGATGAAGATGAAGATGAAGATGAAGATGAAGATGAAGATGAAGATGAAGATGAAGATGAAGATGAAGATGAAGATGAAGATGAAGATGAAGATGAAGATGAAGATGAAGATGAAGATGAAGATGAAGATGAAGATGAAGATGAAGATGAAGATGAAGATGAAGATGAAGATGAAGATGAAGATGAAGATGAAGATGAAGATGAAGATGAAGATGAAGATGAAGATGAAGATGAAGATGAAGATGAAGATGAAGATGAAGATGAAAGTGAAGATGAACATGAACATGAACATGAACATGAACATGAACATGAACATGAACATGAACATGAACATGAACATGAACATGAACATGAACATGAACATCAACATGAACATGAACATGAACACGAACATGAACCTAAATTCAAACCTAGAGGACGTATTTGCAGATTACAGAGACTAACGCTAGACGCTACATCTAAAACCAAAACTTTTTTCTTATGTTTAGCCGTTAAACCCAAATTATACTGAAAAAATAACTTTCTAAACTGACATTTAAACTGATTTTTATTAGATTAGACTTTACAATTAGACCGTTGCAATGATGTTCGTTTTTGGGTAGTGGGGAGGTATTGGTGACCTCAGTGTAGGTATAGAGCTGGGTTTTTTTTTAAATCAAGAACAATATGGTCTATTAATTTTTACATGAAGGATACCAGATTTATGTTTTTACTATAAAATGTTAGTAGTTTGATATAAAATTCAACATGTGGACGTCCACGTGGAAACAAATCACAGTCCACACGCGTATAAGTCGATAACCTTTACATACTATCCCTTAGTCTTGACTTTTTATTCTGCTGCTTCAGTTTTCTGTTAAATCTTTACAAGTAACTTATAAATATTTTAACAGCCTGCATTTGTATAATGACACTACAATATATCTTAGCAATCCTTTATCTCGAGATAACTATCTTTTTCGTCACCTAATTTGCTTTTTCATAAGTTGCTTTTCTGCAAGTCTCGGAGCATCTGAACTGCCTATTTGATATGTGTATGGCTAGTCATGTGCTAGCTGATAACATCACTTTATTCTAGATTTGGCTGGTGCAAAAGTAACTATCGTTGGCTTATCGCGGGTAAATATTAGACAGCCATTAATAATCCATTGTGACATGTTTTTACAAACCTAAATATTGAGCTGGGTTTTCACTTTTATATATTTTTACATTATAGATGGGCACTAGAACTTCACAAAAAGAGCACTAACTCGAAATTATAAAAAGTGTTCTTCATTCAGATACAATTATCTACATATTTCTATGATTTGCAATTAACAATCATAACATAATTTGCGTATATATAATACCTATTGCTAGAAAGTACCATCATTGATATGTTTCGTTCAGCCAATTATAGAAAAACCAACTGGGTAAAATATTAAATAACCATTATAAGCCAAAATAGAATTTTTAAACGATTAAATATTATATAGTGTTTACTTCTTTTCAGCATTGGCACCTGATGTCAGAGGCGTAGCGAGGGGGGGGGGGGGCGGGGGGGACATAAGTCCCCGGGCGCCGACCTTAGGGGGGCTCCAAATAGAAAGTTTGAAGGGGGGGGGGGTGTAACTGAAAAATTCGAGAGGGGGTGCAAATCGAATGTTTGAAAGGGGGGGGGGGGTGCAAATCAGAAGTTCAAGGGGGGGGGGGTGCAAATCGAAAGTTTGTCCCCGGGCGCCGGGAAGGGTCGATACGCCTCTGCCTGATGTTTCCTTGAAGAATTTAAAAAAATAATGAGTTCGATTATTACTATTTTTTATAAGATATGTATTTAATTCATACAATTCTCTATGTTCTTTTTTTTCTAAAAATCATTGCTGATATGGAGATTTATTCATATTATTTTCTATTACATTTGTGTTTCATTTTAATCATCCCTAAACCCTTGTTATGGTCTATGGGGCACCAGAGTGGTGTGTCTAGAGCTAAGTATAGCATGCGGTGTCCACCCCTTACCATACCTGATCACAGCTGGGTGTCTCTATCTAGGTGGCCAGAAGCGTAGCGACATATATATATATATATATATATATATATATATATATATATATATATATATATATATATATATATATGTGTGTGTGTGTGTGTGTGTGTGTGTGTATGTGTGAGAGAGAGTCTGTGTAAGCTTGTGTACGACAGTCTGGAGGAAAAAATTTCATAATGACGTTGTATGATTTTCGTTCATTAAAACTAAACTAAACCGGCAGCCTATTAAATTCGTATTAAGATAAGTCTCCAGTTTTCAAAGAAAGTACAAATGTATGAAAAAAATATGCCTAATCTAAGTTTAGAGGGTAGTTTTTAGAAGCGCTAATTTGTTTAGACCAGCCTTTTATGTTCTATCTTTGAAAACAGTTCTTTTTGTGATATTGTACAAAGATGGACCTTAAGTTTGTGAGAATAAAATCATACAAGCGACATCCAAGATCATCTTATCAGAAACATTTATTGTACGCATTGGTATTTCGTTGACTGGTTGATGGTATAACGAAACAACCTAGAGTAAGCAAACTGGAATCCAAAGGATGTGAACAGATCGAAGTCTTCGATTTCATAGATTTGCGTTGCGTTCTTATACACTGTCAACAACAAATACAACACTAATTGGACTCGTTGAAGAAGCAGTAATAACCAGTGTAACGGACACCAATCTATCAGCCAGATAGATGGCGAACGCTCCCGGATTCGTTTAACTGGTTACACACAGATGGCGACAAGCCTAAATAAAAGAAAGTTGACACACTAGCTCGCTAGGACTCGTAATTGAGGTCTAGGGGAAACACTAGAAAAACTACTGATGCCAACAATACATTTAATCTGCATATAACTTGTAATGAGTGTACAAAGTCGTGGCAGAACACTAGATTTATACAGGAATAACAATAGATTTACAGAATGAACAAAACCCATCTTACGATTCGTGGGGAAAATAATATGATACACTATCACAGCTTTTAACACTTCAGAAAATCACCACAGTATACACATCACTGCTATAAGCATAAAGAATTACTTAACCACAAGTAATATAATAATATGCTACTTAAACAACTTAGTACTAAACGGCAACACACAGGGCTTATGACTCTCGACGACGTCTGATCAATGAACTGCCTCGAGACACCTGTGGGCAATCTATTTATAGACTTAGGCAACATGGAAGGTCACCTTCAAATCATAAGGCCATTGGTTGGGGTGGTCATCTGGTCTGAATCAATCAATCATATTTTGATGGAAAATTTCTGAGTCTAAGACTCTCTGAGTACGACAGCGAAAAAAACCGGTCATTGTACCACAGACCATATATGGTAAGGTAACAAATGTAACTAAAAATAACCAGACCTAAGTAGGTCACACCAGTTTAATAACAGTGGCACCGCCCGTGACGTTCTGATTAGTATCAGCAGCAATAAAACGCGTTTTAACATTCTAAGCCAATGTGGGGTTCAAATGCATTTTCAAAAAAACTCAATCAGAATCTATAGCTAAATGTTAAGTCTCTTTTACTGTATGGCTCGTAGATAGGTTACAGACAGTGGATGATATTAGAGAATGGAAAAAATGTTATTAGGGCACAATATTAGAAAGACAGTAAATAACATCAATAAGCACGTGCTGGTGTAAAGTCCACGGGGAAAGAGGAAGAGAAGGAGACAAAAATTCCTGAAGGAAAACGTTTGAAATTGAGATGGAGGAGACTGGATTATAAGGGTTTTATCTTCATTAAAATCAAGCGAGTTGACAAAGTGTTGCCTACGCCTATGCTCTTTAGAAAACCGAAACGAATAAAAATAAAAAATAAAAAAAAGTTTTGAGAAGTGGTTCTTAATACGTGTTCGATCGAACCCAAGAGTTTCGGTAAGTCAGTCTAAGGGCTATGGCGGAGGTTATGGCTAAGGCCCGTCTCAATGTGGACGATCCACTTATTAAGAAGGATTCGGTGGAGGCGCATATGAAACGGGTGGGGTTCGGTACCTCCAAAAAGGTTCAAAACCAATGCTTTAGAGACTAGTTTTTAAAAGGTGCAAGCTTATTTGGTCTACTTTTGGTCTTATCTTTAGAACAATTTCGATAATAGTGTATTACAGTTTTAAATTATGAGTTAGGTGGAAAAAAGTAACAAAACATTAGCAGTCGTCGTATTGTACCATTTTTACATCTTTTAGTAGGCTAGTGGCCTTTACTATATGAAAATTTCAGTATTTTGACTTGTTATGAAACAAAATGATCAATTCTGTACAATATACTATTTTTTTAGCTCTTAAAATTTCGGCAAAAGTATCTTCTTCCACCCACACACTCCGACCGTATGCCATTTTACTGATCAGATAGTGATTGAAGAATCCGTGATATTTATTTCTCTTTAATACAGTT